AGGGAGCACTTTAATATATCATATTGCAGTGTATTCATAATTTTATGAATAAGCAAAGGGATTGGTTTTCTTTGAAATGTACTCAGGGTAGAAGTTATTATATTGTCTATAGTCTATATGCCTTCTAAACGAAGAAGAATAATAGAGCTATGCTCCGTTCGCTCAGTTTATCACTGAATGCAAAATCGCATCCTAATACTTAGGTAAGCTACCGACATTATCAGGGTTTAAACATTTTTTCAAAGCAATATTCTAGATGCCAGATTTATACATTCCTGACGGACATCAGAACCGCAATTATCTAATTATCCAGGCCACCATTAATAACGGCCCAAACCTAGTAATAACTAATAATTAAAATGAAATTGAAAAATTCCAATTTGGAAACAAAACCTTAATCATTTTTAAGAACAAGAATAATGAAATGAGATCCCCTTTTCAGTGAAAAAAACTACATTAAGCACCGCATCTTAAAAATTTTCTTTATGGATAAAAGGGCATGTCTAGCATTTTTAGCTATATAAGTCGCGGTATGCGGAAGATTAGAGAGAATGTGAGTTATTTATATATGATAATTGCCATTCGTAATTCTTGCAGGATATGTGGAGTTATGCCAATTTCTTAAGAAATCCAATATTGAATTTTAGTTATCTGCTCAGACAAACAGAGAATATGGCCAATGCTGAGCATCTAATTTTCTCCCTGCTTTGCAACAATCAGGATTGTTGTGGTAGTAGCTTAAAATTAACGCTGCAGATATTAACGTGGGAGGACAATGTTGCAAAATCATTTAAGGACTATATTTTTAGAATAGTTTATTTTAGAAATTGAAGAAATGAAAAAATCTTCTAATTCCTAAATCACTGTTTTTTAAGTCGTAAATAACAATAAAATTTCTGTTGCAATTAAGTAAAACAACATAAATAGTAAGGGATGATACTACAAGGTCTATGCTAACTCATGAAATTATCGATAAGATATCAATCGTTGTAAATCCATATTCTTTCTTTTTGAATTATTCGAAAATATTTAAAAATACGTAAACTGCTTAATAAGATATATAAGTAGGGTTCCGAGACGAAATAGGGTGAATTCATCTCATTGCTTAATAAGAGCTTAAGTCCTATTAGGGAATACGCCTGTTAAATAAAATAATCAAAAATACTAAATCAGACATCAAGCACAATGATACGAATTCGCTGTGGAAAAAAAATTATAGGTGAAAATTATGAAAGAAAGTGATAGCAAATAATTTATAATCAATATCATTTAGAATACCAATAATAGCAAATGTAAACATAAATTTAATATGCTAAAGTAAAAATAAGCTAACACATCATAATTTCTTTATTAAAATAATAAATACGAAAGTTTAAAACCTTTTAGCAGAATAAAATGAAAATTGTTTTTATCTACTTTTATATAATGCTGTATATTTGAGCTGTGATATTCGCGCCTACCACGTTTTAGGCTCCTTATCACA